CCGCAGTATGTTCGCTAGGTTTCCCACGCTTGTTAGCGTACGTGGGTGATGTACACCTAGCTCCTTCTCGTACCCTTCTAGCGCTCGCCGGTTCAGCTTCTCTGCGTCGTCGTACTTCCCCTGGTCCCGCAGTATGTTCGCTAGGTTTCCCACGCTTGTTAGCGTACGTGGGTGATGTACACCTAGCTCCTTCTCGTACCCTTCCAGCGCTCGCCGGTTCAGCTTCTCTGCATCGTCATACTTCCCCTGACCTTGAAGTATTAATGCTAAGTTTCCCACACCTGTTAGCGTACATGGGTGATGTACACCTAGCCTCTTCTCGTACCCTTCTAGTGCTCGCCGGCTCAGCCTCTCGGCTTCGTCGTACTTCCCCTGACTTTGAAGTATTAATGCCAGGTTTCCCACGCTTGTTAGGGTACTTAGGTGATGTACACCTAGCTCCTTCTCGTACCCTTCTAGCGCTCGCCGGTTCAGCTTCTTTGCTTCGTCGTACCTCCCCTGATCTCGGAGTACTGATGCTAGGTTTCCCACGCTTGTTAGCGTACGTGGGTGATGTACACCTAGTTCCTTCTCATACCCTTCTAGCGCTCGCCGGTTCAGTTTCTCTGCGTCGTCATACTTCCCCTGACTTTGCAGTATTAATGCTAGGTTTCCCACGCTTGTTAGTGTATGTGGATGATGTACACCTAGTTCCTTCTCGTACCCTTCTAGTGCTCGCCGGTTCAGCTTGTTTGCTTCGTCGTACTTCCCCCGATCTTGCAGTACTAGTGCTAGGTTTCCCATGCTTGCTAGCGTACATGGGTCCTGTACACCCCGCTCCTTCTCGTATCCTTCTAGTGCTCGCCGGTTCAGCTTCTCTGCTTCTTCGTACTTCCCCTGATCTCGCAGTACGATCGCAAGGCGGTTCACGCTCGTCAGCGTATGTGGGTGATGTACACCTAGCTCCTTCTCGTATCCTTCTAGCACTCGCCGGTTCAGCTTCTCTGCTTCGTCGTACTTCCCCTGACCTTCCAGTAGTGATGCTAAGTTTCCCACGCTTGTCAGCGTAAGCAGGTGCTGGACGCCTAGCTCCTTCTCGTACCCTTCTAGCGTTCGCCGGTTCAACCTCTCTGCTTCGTCGTACTTCCCCTGATCTTGCAGTAATAGTGCTAGGTTTCCCAGGCTTGTTAGCGTAGAAGGATTCTGTACACCTAGCCCCTTTGCATACCCTTCTAGCGCTCGCCGATTCAGCTTCTCTGCTTCGTCGTACTTCCCCTGACACCACAGCACTAACGCCAGGCCGCTCACGCTCTTCAACGTACATGGGTGCTGTACACCTAGCTCCTTCTCCCCCCCTTTTAGCGCTCGCCGGCTCAGCTTCTCTGCCTCGTCGTACTTCCCCTGATCCTGCAATATGCTCGCTAGGTTGTTCACAGTCATTAGCGTATGTGGGTGTTGTACACCTAGCTCCTTCTCCATCCCGTCTAGCGCTCGCCGGCTCAGCTTTTCTGCTTCGTCGTACTTCCCCTGCTCCTGCAGTATGCCCGCTAGGTTGTTCACGCTCGTCAGTGTATGCGGGTGCTGTACACCTAGCTCCTTCTCCCTCCCTTCTAGCGCTCGCCGGCTCAGCTTCTCCGCTTCGTTGTATTTCCCCTGTTTCCGTAGCAACCATACTATATCTACGATCACTTGATTCCACTTCTTCAACGACTTACCAGCGAGTTCGCCGTAATAAAACGATTCAACGTGCGGGACCAGCTGTTTACACTCCGCCCAGTTCTCTAGGCTGCTAGATCGGAATTCTCTTGCCATTGACGCTAAGAACGTCAACTCCCAATTTCCCACTTTTCTAGATGAGGATAGCCATGCTCTTGTGCAGAGCTGCACTAGGGGGTGCATTTTCAAAACGCCCTTCTCGGCGGTCGCACTTATTAAGGAGTACGCCTGTAAAACCTCGATATCGCCGTCAAACCCTTTTTGAGCACCACTTCCTCTTCTATCTTTTAGATGATGTAATGTGGAGAACAGATGCCTCACATTGCGGATTCTCCCCTTTAGACTCCGCGTATAATTGCGAAGAACAAATTCGGGAATCTTTTGCGGGTTAAAGAAGCTCATAAGCGATAACAAGTCTGCAGCAGAACGCCTCTCTCTGCGGACACTCTCAAATGTTATCTGCCAAGATGTCACAATTGAGTTTAATACGCTTTCATCCCGCCGAAGATCTCCCCTATCGAGTTTGAGGAGGTTCTCTTTGCTGCTACTACTGTCGTAGAACTCGTCTTGGTAACTGGATATTGTGGTTCGAGGCGTATGCCCATTGATATATGTCGTAGCTTGGGTTATTGAGAGGGGTATGTAGTCGGGAGCACGTAGTAGATGGTAAGCGCCTTCGTCGCTTGACGTGTCTTGCAGTCTATTGCACAGAAGTTTGCGCTTAGAGGCAGATCCGTCTGTGTGTGGATGTTAGCCTTGGGTTAGCCAGTCTCGAGGTCTGTGCACTCACCTTGTCTTGGCGGATAGCTGAAGTTGAAGTCCATCGCTCCGCCAAGACTGTGTGGGCCTGCAATGACAATGTGATCATCGGCTAGATCGTGGAACTCGCTCGTTTTCTCCATCCTGTCTTTTGGTGAGCGTGCTTTTTCGTCTGTCAGAGTAACGAAGGAGAGAGAAAGGAAGGGCTGCAGCCTAGGCAGCAAGGCCAGCTGAGATGGAGCCTTGGTACGATTTGGCTTAGCGCTGAACCGGGTAACATACTCCCCGGCTTTTCCCATTGGATGCTCAGATGCTCATGCTGATTCGTCGACATCCGATCGCCAGGCTTTATACTCCTGGATCTATCTTTCTAATACCCCTCGAACTTAGCCGGGCCTTTATCTGCTCTCGTAGTAAGCTTCGTGATATCCTAATAATCTGCGTTAATGCTGCCGTCGTTATATGCAAGCAATATGGCGACTCTTTTCCACTATAAAGCTTTCTAGCCTTGTTATTTAACCTAAGAGACTTGTAGAAACAATATACTTTAGGTTTGATGTTATAGCGTAATAGCATTGCTCAGAATCTCCTCTAGTCACCTGTAGATCCGAAGAACTACGCTGTAGGTTTCCTAATATCTCTTTATTTATCCAGTGCAAGATATTTACGTATTTCGCTAGTCCCTCCCAAGCTTGCTAATACAGGCCCATGTAAGAAGTTCCCATAAGAATAGTGCCTAGAGGGTCTGACAGAATGCTTTCTAAACCTAACAATTGTTACTAAGATCGAAAACTTCCTTGCAAGCTAACCTTCTAAGACTACAAGCGATAAATGTAAGTGGGTGCTAGTTGTCTCGTCCTCCCTAGTTTAGAAGGTAAAACTTGCCGTCATCATCTAACTAATTCGAGCTTGTGATAGCCTAAAGTAGAGAATGTTAGTGCCTTATCTAAATGCTATAAGGCGTGCACGAGGTATGTGTTCTAAGGGGAGGGCTGGGGGATTCTTTGCAAGCGTGATGGTCTCCCTGCAAGTGCCCTAAGTCTATGGACAAATGCGATGCTTAGTTGCATCTTAGGAAAAGTGAACTACTGTGCTGCGACGTTCTTATTTAATAGCTGTATCCCAAAGTGTGAGCAATAACTTTCATACCTGTCCGATCGTTTATGGTGTATTTTTATCGTTATTAACATCACCTAGAATCAGTGCCGGGAATCGACAGGTAGCTAGTAACCCACCTGCAGGTGCCCAATTAGGGGTAGGCTAGTTGTTTTGGCAGTTGGCGGGAAGCTTGTGTGGAGTTTTCTATCGAATCTGCCCACCCTTTGCTGAGGGGGTTTAAACAATTCACTGCTTGGCATCATGAGTTAATCACTTGTTAGTTAAATGTCACTTCAAATGGGTTAACAATTTATGAACTTACTATAAAACTTAATTATATCGCATGAACATTGACTAAATATTAACTAGGCCTTATGTTTGCCTTCTGTACTCTCGGAAGGGCTGCTTAAATCGTTCTCGGTAGTGTTGTGCTTCGTAAGTAAGGAAATAGGAGAAACGTCAGCCAAAGGATCTGCGATCATCACCCCTGTAGGCAGAGCGAATTGCGATTGGAATTGGGCGGTATGGAGGCTCTGCTGTGAGACAGGGACGAGCACCTCCCTAAAAACCTTCCCCTCTAAGATCTGGGTTGATGAATTTAGTTAATTTAATTAATGGTCGCGAGAGGATATCTAGCTCTGGTTTCAAACACCCTTCACGCCGGTCGTGAAGTGGCAGATGCGTATGTATAAGGATTAGGCAATGCGACAACGGGCTAAGCACTAATTCAATAGAGAGCACTGAAAGTAGGTGCAACGGTGCTTTTTAAACTCTTTGTTAAAGGTTACGTGGCATATAAAATGGAAAGGTGGGTGACTGGGCTCGTTACCTCAATTCACCCCCCTGGGCCCGAAACTACCCTATTAGACCTAGCCTTTACCCGATTAGGTTGGTACTGAAGCTTTGGTGCCCCACCTGTTATCTCAGGTGCTCGGCGGACTGTACAGAGAAGCTCGGAGCCCCTGAGGACCCTGCAACTAGGAGGGGCTCCCTACTAGCTCCTTGACTAATAAGGCCAGCCAATTAGGGGCTCAAAAGCGCTTTCTCTGTCCAGCTGTCTAAGGGACCTTTGTGATTTTTTAGGTGATATGTGATTACAAACCTCCTCTACTATGCACTAGCTTAACTAAGAATTATTGTAACTCTACCACTATACATCTAACTAGCTTAGATTTTAATAGGTAACGTATTTCACAAGCAAGTAGGCCACACAAGTAAAAAGTCTACTCTAACAACATTTTTGTACTTAAATTACATTTTACTCCACAACACCTACATTAATTAATTAAATAATAAAAAAAGGATTATAAGTTTTAACTTAGTAACCTTACAGGTGTCAGTTAAGTCGCTCGTGCTTCGGATCAAGCTCTTGGGGCGGCGAAATGAGGAGTTGAGGTGACTATTCCACGAACAAGCAATGTGAACATTGCCTAGGATAAGGAGAGTAAAGAATACAGCGCGTCGAGCCATGATCAAAGAAGCTGGCCTTTGATTATAATAGAAACGTGCGTCATTTCGATCGGACCCGGCAGTATTGGGGATATGTTCCGTGTTTGAGGAGAATCGCGTCCGTTTCTTGATATGCCCTTTGTGAAGTATTCGACTTAATGAGCACGTGTTCCTGCATGTTTGAATCCTACCCCCTTCGCTCAAATAACGCCGCAATGGTCCTTGTCGGGATATCTGTCCCTGTTCGATTAATTGTTCGACCGGAGATTGATAGGTTACGCCCTACCTGCTTTTGGTGAAAGGTTAGTGAGTATTGAGTGGAATAAGGGTGCCGGTATAGCTCAAATTGCGATTTTTGCCATGTATTGACGATGTTGCCAGGCGTACCTCCGTAAACGGCCGTCAAGGCTTGCATCTAGCTAGCATTCGAGCTCAACGTCCCGCCGCAACAGAAACGGACCGTTCCGGACCAGTGGACGTTGACATTGTCGTTTTCAAAAGGGACATCCCAGGCCAGATAGCCCTGCGCCTCTCAGGGTAATTGATTTGAGAAAGAGGATCAACAACTTTCTTATGTGTATATTTGGTTATACTTAGTACTTGAAAACATGCCAAAAAGGCAGCTAGGATGCAAACTAGCGTGGAATAACCTTTCTGAGAATAATTATTAATAATAAGAGTCCACAAACGACAAATTGATGCGGCGTAGTTGGAGAGAACGCGGTTCGACAATTTCATACGGCGTAGGTGAGAGAAGGAGGGTGGACAATGTAATGTGGCGTAGTTGGAGAGAACGTGGTTCGACAATTTCATACAGCGCAGTTGAGACAAGGAGGGCGGACAATTTAACGCGGCGTAGTCGGAGAGAAGGCGCGGTCTCTTAATTCTGTGAGATTTTCCAACCGCTCGCATCGTCATACGCGTAATGAGGTGTCGGGTTATTATACCCTGCAAGAAGCTTTCAGTGTACTTCTGCATGAAGAGATTGGCCGAACTGGGCGTGAAATGGTCAACCACTAGGCGTAACTGCGTCTAAATAAATAGTTCATTTACAGCGCGTACATGCGTCGAAACCTGATGCGAGGTCAGCGAAAGTCGCCGAGTACCTACGTCCGTCCTCGGGGCATCGTTGGAAATTCCTAGGGTACTAACCGAGAGGCACAGGTGGAGCCCTAGGTAGATTAGGAGTTAGCTTTGCAAACGAAAAGAGAACCGAGATCTTCCAACAATATCTCTTATTCTTGCCACCGCCACGGGAAAGAAAACTAGTTTCTCGCAACAAGAACTACGATGAAGCTCATTCTTCCTATTGCCTTCCTCCTTGGGCATACAGGCTTACTATCTCCCGCGTAGCAGATCCCCGGCTCTCTGCTTTCTTTTGACCTCCTTGGACTAAGCGATGGCTGTCTTGCTGCTGTGAACACGACTATTGCCTCATGTCCTAGATAGCTTCCACAGCATGCAGGCGTAAGGTATGTACTGGTAACCCCATGAATATGCTGTAATATGGTGAACCTAAACGGATGTTTGTCTCCAGAGACGCAAGCTTTGACCTACTCAACGACAAACGCTTCGGCCAGCTCTGTGGTACAGCTTGCGCTCAAGACCTTGAAACCTCAAGAGAGGCCATCAAAAGGGCTTGCATTTCTGCAGCAGATGTCATGGTACCTGGTGGGAGCGTTGCCTGTCCGGGTATGCCGATGGAAACCTCGAGAGATAGGTTGTCGCTGCTGACCTCCGCATAGCGACATTCCTTGCCGATAGATACCTCTATGCATTGCAATTAGGTTGCCTCAGGCCGTAGGCGCTGCTGCGGCTTCCAATCAACTATTTTCTTTGCTAATGTGCGTCCAATAGATCTACAGGCTTGTACTGCGACTCTGTTGTCTCGCAGTGGCTGAACCAAAGCAGCAGCGGGAACTGGACAGTGGCGCAGAACTGCTCTGATTGTGAACTTGGAGTCCAGAAGCTGCAGCTTTCTTCGCCTTTCGGCTATGATGTAGACGGTGCAGCTAACTTTGCCTCCCTTACGTCCAACTGTCAGGCAGGAGGTTATACATACGCCACGCCCACGACGTATGCCATCAATGCAATAGTTGTGCCCGATCCGCCCTCTCGTACATGTACTAGCTCATATACTGTGCAGGATGGGGACACCTGTGTGTCCATCTCTCTGAGCAGAAATGTTTCGACTTACGACTTGATAAGGGCGAATGGTCTCGATGTCAGCTGCAATTTGATCCCTCCGCAGGCTCCACAATTTGTCTCCCAAACATCTGCAATACACACCTGTTGGACGTGTACGACAGATGTGATAATATAACAGCCGGCGCTCACATCAATCGACAGCAGCTGTTGTCGTGGAATCCAATGATCAACCATTTTGTACTAATCTAGGCAGCTGGTATGATTGGAACTTGTGCATAAGGTGAGAAAGCACCTTACCTCTCTTCATCTTCTGTTGAAAGCAGTTGGGTCCTGACCACTATAGCAGCTCACCAAACGGAGCAGTCAACCCAGGTCAAGGCAACTCTATCGCCACAGACGTACCTGTCCCCGCAAATGCACAGAATCAGTCCAGCAGACACTGTGGGTAGTGGTATGCTACCAAAGAGGGTGGCTTGTGTGACACCATCTCGCTCGCTTTCAGCATTACATTGGACGATTTCTACTTCCTCAATCCACAGGTTGACCGCAAATGCTCCAACTTCCGGCTGGGAACGTCCTACTCCGTTAGGCCTGCCGGGAACATCGCCACCTACTCCGGCTATCCGATGCCCACACCTAACACTGTCTTCCCAAAACCGACGCCGGAGCCAACATCGATACCCCCACCAGTCGTGACACCCCCGCTCTCAGCGGCGGCTGCAGGCACAGTCGATAGGTGTCTATACTACATGAATGCATTTGATGAATCAATTTCTAATGTCTTTGATCTTAAGGTAGCGAATTCGTGTAAGGTATAGGCTACTCAGGCGGATATCATGGTAGAGGATCTGCTGGCGTGGAATCCGAGCCTGTCGAAGGAGAATTGTATGCTGCAGCCGGGCAAGAGCTACTGCATTTTGAAATGTATGTCCACAAAATTTCCTCCGTCATCGATGTCAGTGAATGTCCAGTTCGCTAACTCTTTCTGCTCGGCATCTAGCAAACAATTCTGGCTCCTCAACGAATGGTTCAACGCCTACACCTACAATTTCCCAATCACCAACCAGCACTGGCGGCACACCTCCGCCTGCTGAGACCCAGTCGGGCGCAATCTCGTCGTGCAAAAAATGATATGTCGTCGTAAGCGGCGACAGCTGTTGGGTCATCGCGAATGCGGCCGGCATCTCTCTCGACGGCTTCTATAAGTGGAATCCCAGCGTTGGGGAGTGCTCTGCTTTGTGGCCAGACTATGCGGTGTGCATTGGGGTTTAATTTGGGTCAATAGGTGTTGTTATCTTATTAGCTAAGAAGAGTACTTTTCTTTATAGATGTTAACATTTTATATACAGTTGTTGTAACGACCGGCTATCCAGGTGTTTCCTAGGCTGTCGTAGACTGGCCTAGACTGCACTAGGCAGTCCCGGACGACTCCCGAACCGTGCCGTTAACCCCGCACTTCCCAGACAATGCCTACCTCGCCTAAAAAGCCGGGCATCCTAGACAGGTAATACTTTGAACTGGACCTACGGCATACTAGATCTGTCGCTACCAGCGCTGCCGTGCCTGGCTCTCTGGAGAAGTATATAGCCAGTTGTAGAAGCCCTCTTTAGATAGCAGAGGATCGCCTTAGGAATTGGGCGGGTACCAATCGTACTTCTATGTCACAGTCACGCCCTTGTTGGTCAATACACCTCTTGATTGCGAAGTGTATACCCTGTTTTTTACAGTTGTATTAATAAACCGGTAAGTTTTAAAGCACTCTATGCTATTCTATTTCTGCGTTTTTAAGTATATACTTAATAGTAACTAATGTACTTCACAGGCAAGTTGCTTACACACCTAAGTTGCTTACTTTTGCTAAGACTCTACTAAACTACTCTTTTTACACTAATGCATTCCTAATAACACTACTTAAATGTGCTAAAAAAATGTTAGATATAGCTTATACTTTAAGCTTTTAAATAAAACATAAAACTTTTAAAGAAACATGCTGCAGCTATGTACAAAGTTTTTTAAAAAAATAATAAATAACTATAGCACTAAATAACTTTTATAAGCTAATTTTATAGCTAACTTATAAAAGCTAGGTAATAATAAAAAGTAAGTAATTATTAAGACTATACTTAAGCTATATGCGTAAGGATTTTCCTCTTAAATAGTATTTATAGCTAATATAGCTAATTTTTTACACACTAAGCATAATCTAGGCTATATTAGTATAAACTAGCCTAGTATATTTATAAAGTGTTATTTAAAGCTTAAAGTAAAGTTTTAAGTATAAGTATAGTTAATGTCCGTACGCAGCAGCAGCGTCGCGGCCTGGATACGAGCGATCACGCACGAGCAGGATCACGTATCTATGTCACATGATGCTCGTGCGCGAACCTCTGTGCGCGAACATCTAGATATCCCCCTTTTCCTCTGTACAGAGGAAAAATAAGAAGTAATTAACACTAGTTACCTAACACCCCTGTGCAATGTTTACACTGTGCAAACCTCTCTGTCTTGTACACATTTGCTAACACTAAGTGCTAGCTAGCAGAGAGTCTATTTAACACTAATTAGTAGTTTAAATACTATAAAAGAGAAAGCTTTTCTTATACCTTTTTATTTAAAAGTTTATGTATAAAAAGAATTCTTTTTCTTACTACTTTAACTATAAATTAGTAAGAGTAAAGATAAAGTCTAATTTATATGTAAGTAGCTATAAATCTCTATTTAGTTACTTAAGCAAAAGTAAGAAACTTGTCTATATAATACTGTTTAGAGGTATTATATAAATAGTAGTGCTTATTTAATACTAGGAGGTCTATTTTATCTTTTTACATAAGGCTGTTTAGAGGCAGCGTACAACAAGAAGTAAGACAGCGCGCAACAACGCATAATTAACTACTATAGAGCAACAAGCAACGCTAGCTCTATCTATAACTAGCTAACATAATGTATTAATGTATAACTAATATATACCTTTTATAGGCATCTTAGCAAAGACCCTAGCAAAGTAGACAAATATTAAAGATTAAGTAGATAAGATTAAACTATTAGATAACATACTTAAGAAGAAGCTTAATTTATACGCAGCTAACTTAATTATAAAACTCTACGCGTTAAGCGTAATAGATGTACATACACTTAAGAACTTTTAAAATAACTTTATAAAGTAGAAGCTTATATACTTTAAAGATCTTAGCTAACTATTTTTATAAAAACTAATTACTACTTTATAGAATAAGGGCATTAGCTTTAAGAAGGACATAACAGAGGCTACTATACTATATAGACTTATAAAAGAAGAACACATGTTTACTGTCTTACTAGAGCATTATATAAAACTATTACTACTATTGCTAGTCTTAACGCAATAGAGGATGTCTCTATATAAATTACCTGTAGACTTAATACTTTCTCTATAATTAGTACAACTACCTTGTAATAGCTTACTGTACAAGAGCACAACTAGGCAGCTACATGTTCCTGTAGCCACAGCTCTACATAAGATTCCCTAAAGCTTGTACCTACTGCATATAATTTAATTACTGTACAATCTATACTAACTTCTACCTATATAAGATATTACAGTAGAGAACCTTACACCTAAGAAGGTTATATAATTCTAGAAGGCATAAAGAAAGAAGAATAACTACATAGAGCAACTATATAATATCTTAGCTAATAAGGCTATAGTATTTATTAAGCTCTACTAACGCCTTACTATTTTTAAGGCATTATACACAAGCATCTTTCCTAATATCTTTAAAGGGCGTGCACACATGTTCTACCTTTACAATATTAGTCTAGAATAATTATAGAAGTTACTATATAAGTAGCTTAGTAATTACTTTAATACTAACATAAACTATAACTAGTATTAGACAGATTAGACAATAATAAGCTTTACATAAAGTAAGTAGAAGAACTTTATAAAAACTTTATATAAAGCTTTTAAAGCTATAATTAATAAACTTACTTTTATATAAAAAGCTCTTAGTCTATAATTCTAAAGTAAAATACTGCTTTACACTGCTATTATATAAGCATGCTAAGGGCAACTTAAACTTAAATAAGCAATATTCTTAATTAAGCCTATATATAAGGCACTGTATAGTAACCTTTATTTAGCACTTTAGGTTATAATTAATTAACAGAATAATGCATTTATAAATAAATCCTAGGACATGTACTACACTAATAAGTAATATAGCTTACTATGTACACATAGCTATTAACAACATAGAAGAAGCCTAAGGGGATATAAAGGATTATTTAGACTATAGTCCTCTACATAATTAAAGTAATGCTTTGTCTATTATAAGAAAGAATGTTAGTTAACAAATTATCCTTACATAGATTAATTCTATGCAAAACGCTAATATATCTCTTTATATAAAGAATTCTATAACAAGACACTAATGTGTAAAAAGGTAAATGTGTACATTTAAGAGTTTAAAGGCAAACTAAAGTAAAAAGAAAAAAAGTTACATAATAATAACAACCTAAATAAAAAGAAAGGTAAAAAGATTATTAACTACCTTACTAATGCTACATTTCTTTACTGCGCGACTGTAGAGGACATCTACAGCCTAGAACCTAAAGGATACACAGAACAGTTTATCTTTAAAGATTAATACTGTACAGTATACTAAGGTAAACTATAGGATACTAGCGCAGTAAGGATCTCTACTATAAAGAAGCTATAACTTAAAGCATACCTGTAAGAATTCTCTTATATAAAAGTAGACTAGACACTAAAAAAGAAGAGTATTAGCTTTAAAAAATAAAAATTAATAGAATTAATTAGTACTATATAAATTACTAACCTAGTTAGTAACATAACGTATCACATTCTAGAGACTCTAACACTGTTCCTACTGTCTTTAGCAGACGTAGACTAAATAGGTGCGTACTTTAACAACATTTTAAATGTTATTGTACGCAAAGACAAAACTACTGTCTCTGTTATATAAAAATAAAGACACCTTTTTTTTAATGTTAGTAAGAAAGAATTTATATCTTTCTTTACTAAATTAAAACTCTACTGCCTCTACTACTAATTTAGACACCTCTGCATAGAGAGACTCTAGAAGATGCTAACTAGCGCTAGCCACAACATTAATGCTGCAGTGCTAGAAAAGATTAAGAAGTTCTGCTACCTCTGCTAATTATATAACTAGGCCCTATAAAGATTTAAGTTTATAATTAAGAATAACACCTACTTTAACTATAAAGTTATTATTAACATTATATAAATTAATAATAGAGATGTCCTATATGTTATTAATGTAGACATATTATTTTAGGCTGCTACATTCTTAAAATTTATGTCTGCATAAGATACCTAGGATGCACTATGCAAATGCTAGATTAACACCTATTAAGGACCCCTAGACTATATTATGTATAACCTTAGTATAAACTTTGCTTTAGAGGATTTTTAAGCTTGTGCAAAGATTATAGGAGCTACATGTAGGCAGATGCCTATAGAAGCATATTAGGTAGTTAGAAAGGTTAAGTGTGCGCACACACCTCTCTAACAAGCGTTTAACATCCTAAAGACTAAGCTAGGTAACTATACAGATAATAAGGCTATCCTGTAGATAGCAGTTAAGGCTCTAAACAACACAGCTGGCCTACACAGTCTAGTACCTACGCTGCTAGTCTTTAGAGTATACTTAAGAATTAACCTAGACTCTCTGCTATTACTAGACATTATTACATAAGTAAGCGCTATATAAAAAGTAATAAAGATACTTTAAAAAGACTATGTAAAAGTAAACATTAATTATGTAATTAACACTTATAATAGCCTTACAACACATAAAGTTCTTAACCTCCCCCTTAGCTTAGAAATTATAGCATAGAGAGAGAAGAAAGGCTAGACTAGCCTGTATAAGATTAAAAGCATTAAAGGAAGAGACATTATTATTAAAAAAGAGAATAGCCTACTAAAGCTCTAATGTACGCAGGTTAAACTGTACTATAAAGAAAAGAAAGAAGACAACCTACTTACAATAGATAACCTAAATAAACTAATCCCTATATAAAGGGATCTTTTAAAGAAGAGAAAAAGAGGACAGCCCTATAAAAATGTTACAAAGGCAGAACTAAAGCCTACTACAGACTAAGCCCCTTAGGATAGCAATGCCGCACTAGTGCAAAGGGAAGATATAGATACTAGGAGAAGTAAAAGGCAAAGGAAACCTGTATAAAGTCTAGACTAGATATTTCTAACCTAGAAGAAAAAGGATAATTAGGCTTTGTCTATTAAGCTCTATATAGACAGTGTAATTACTACACCTAGAGAACTATTTAAAGAATTAGACTATATAGAGATAGACACTCTAATTACTAATAGCACTTTTAAAGTTATAGTGTATAACTTAATAAAGCATAAAGGTTAGATTTTTAACTTCTGCCTTATATAAAAAGTAAAAGGCAAAACAACCTAACTATATAAGAAATCCTGCCTAGTGTTTGCTAGCTACTTAGATAAAAAAAAGGAAGAAATTCTTACCTAGTTACTAACTATCTAGAAAATAAGCTAAAGACTACTTTTAGCTATAAAAGTAAGCCTAAGAGCTACATACAAAATGCATTTTAAACTATGTAATATTATA